CCGGGCCTCCCGGCGTGTTTCCACGTTATATCTATGTCGTACGAATGGCATCTACAATAAACCGCGCGCCTCCCGTTAATCGGCGTTTCCTCCCACTCCCCGCCCCCCTTTTTGAATTTCCCGCTCGGCCTCCACCCCGCCGCCCACCTGTCTGTCCACACATGCGTAGAGAGGGGGGAGGGGGAGTGTGGGTAGAGTGATACGCACCCAGTCGTCACGCTGCAACCCGCTCCACCTCATCTGCGTTCTGTCTGGAATTGATCACACGGACGCAACGTACAGTTATCGTTAACAAAAAATGTAAAAAACATGAGGTGGGGGCTCTTTTCTTTAAATGTAAGGTTTTAGGTAATTTGAAAGCTGATTTCCTGTCGTGCATGATCATGTTTACTAGTGAAGAAATTAACCACTGACCATTAACCATGACATAGCAATTTCTATTGTAATAATTTTTTTTATAAATGTTATTAATCAATTTTTGTTAGCCTGGATGAAGTATGTTTTTGTCCATCTTGTCCTTTTTTGTTTCTGTTACTCTAAGATTCAGCTCACAGGATTCAACTCAAATCAAATAGTCGAGGACAAATGCACCCACCATCCGATGTGAATAAGGGACGCCGACGTGGGAGGGAAAGGGGGGTGTAGGAGGAAAGACAGCTTGCTGTGGCGATTCCTGGAGCAGCGGAAGGTTGGGGGAGAGGGGGTGGGGGCGACGTGAGAACAGAGGCACGTGCACGGCGCGGGGGGCGGCGGGGGCGGCACTGGTGGTCGGCGGCGGGGCGAGGCCACGTGCTACTGTCGATATGACCCAGCGAGCTACACACGACCAGTGTTGTTTACGATTTTGCGAGTATTTTGTTTTATACGTTGGTTGGGGGTCGTACCCATACCCCGTGACTTTTAGGGCGGGTACAAATATTATGGGGTCCCAAAACGATCAGGAACGTCATTGGAGTCCATAGAGACCCCATAATATTTATACCCCGGGGTGAAAATATGATGATGTCCTCTATGGACTCCAATGACGTTCCTGATCATTTCGGGACCCCATTATATTTGTATCACGCCTAAAAGTCACGTGGTATGGATCCAACCCCACATACATACACAAGCGGGGGGCGTACATGCCCCCAAAACACCTGCAACAACTACTAACTAAAATGTATAGTATAGTCGATTTTTCATTCAAACGATGATTACAGAGACGAAAACAAGACGCCGTATAATGGAGATTACACGCTGACTGTGGCGGTGACC